CACAAGTGTGATTAAAGATGTAAAGCTACTAGAGAAGGTTGGGGAAAGAGAGAGAGAGAGTGGGGAAAAAAAAAAAAAAAGAACAGAGTAAGAAGAAAGAAAAGGCGTCTGGCAGCCGCGGAGGCTGTGGGGGGCACGCAGCTCCGTGTCCGCAGTGCTAGGAGGGGCGCTGCTCCGTCCCGCGGACCGTCCCGGGTCTGGGATGATCCAATCAGAGATGCTCCTCGTCGGGGTTTTCTCCCGGGGAGGGGCTGGGGGCCGGGAACCCTCCCGGTTTGCGGTGTTCCTCGGTGGGGGGTACGCCCGGTTTCGGGCCCTTTGGCTCCGGGGTGCTCCTGGTCTGGGGCGCCCCTCGCAGCGCGCCAGGGATATGGACTCCTCCACCTGGGCGCCCCGCCTCTGAGTTCCGGGAGCCGCTCGATCGCGGGCGCGACCGCACGCAGCTGGAAAATCCGGCGCCTCGCCCTTGCGCCGAGGGTGACTGTGGTCCCAGCCGCGCGCTGCAAGTTTCGGGAGCTCCCGGGCGGTGGGCGGTGTCCGAGGGACCTGCCGGGCCCCGGGCGCTCGGTGCTGCTCCTTGCGCACCCTACAGGCCCACCGAGAGGTTTGCACTAGAGTTAGGTGGGGAGGGAATCAGCCTGCCCTGGGCAGAGGGGCACTGTCTTTGGTCAAGGGGAAGGAGCTGGGGGAGGGCTGCAGACAAGAAAGAGGCCAAGGAAGAGCCCCAAAGACAGAGGACGGTTCCCTGAGGTCGTCCAAAGTGAGGAGGACGCCGTTCTCTGAGGCACTCAAGTCTCAGATCTGTGCTGAGGCCTTCTGCTTAGGCTGGGGGTGGGGGTGGGGTTCTCTCTTGGGAAGTAATAGAGAGGGGGCAGAGGTGTTGAATTGAGATTTTAAATTGTTTAGAAGAAAAGGAGGGCAAAGGAGAACATGTGTTTCAAAGTTTTTATAGTGTGGTAGAACTCAGGATACATTTTTAGACTGGTCTGTAGTAGGATCTGTCCAACAAGAGTGAAGAATGAAACCCATGACAGGGAGAGGGTTTAATGAGACAGTGATTTTCATCCTTTTTATTCAGGCAAAATAGTTCATCATATAATGAAAGAGAAAGGTCATACAATTATCTCAATAAACACAGTAAGAACAAGCATTTGACAAAATTCAATAGCCTTTCTTCATTCATAACACTAGGAATACTGAAAATAGAAAGGAACATCCCTAACCTAATTAATAACATCTATAAGAAGCCTGCAGGTAACTTCATCATTAATAGTGAAACACTTTGCTTTTTTCTAAGATGGGAAACAAGTTAAGGATGTCGTCTTTCACCGGGGACAATTGTTTTTGTAATAAGTAAAGAAGTAAAAATAGAAGGCATACAGACTGGAATGGAAGAGACACAACTACAGGTTCTGACAGAGGGCATAATTTTATGTAGATCGCCCTTTGAAATTTACAAAAGAGCTGCTGGAAGTCATAAGTGAGTTTAGCATGATCATGGAATAAAAAGTCAATCTACAAAAATCAGTTATAATTCTATGTACTATTAATGGAAATTTTAAAAATGAAATTTCTTAAAAATACCATTTACAATACCATAAAAATTCAAATACTGAAGTATAAATCCCTTGAAACATGTGCAAGATGTCTACCATGAAATCTACAAAATACTGCCGAGAGAAATGAAAAGATGTAAAAAGGGAGGGATATACCATGTTTATGGATTGGAAGATTCATTGTTAAGATAGCTATTCTGCACAAACTGTGGAGTTTATAGAGTCTATACATTTTTAGGCTCTATAGGTTATAGAGTCTGTATTTTTCATGCAATCCAAATCCCAGGAGGAATTTTCAAAAAAAATTGAGAAGTTGTTACTAAAATTTATGTGAAAATGCAAATGATCTAGAATAGTTAGAACAATCTTGGGAAAAAAGAACAAAGTTAGAGGATTTATGCTGACTTGTTGAGTAAGGCAATACTAATCTTGACAGTGTGATATTTGCATGAGTATATAAATGGAAAATAATAGAAAGTAGAGTAATAGACCCACACATATATAGCCTATTGATTTTTGACCAGGCACCATGTCAATTCAATAAAGAAAGAGAAGTCTTTCACAAGTATAGTGGAGCAACTGGCATATCTCTATGGGGAAAAAAGAACGAAGGTTGACCCTTACCTCATCCTATATGCAAATATCATAGACCTACGCCACCATAGACCTAAATATAAAATCTGGAACCATGAATATTTCATAAAGATACATGGGAGAATATCTCCAGACCTTTAAGTTAAAAAAAACAAAACAAAACAAAACAACTTAGATAAGACACAGAAAGTGCTAACAATATAAGGAAAACTGATCAATTTAGTGTTATCAAAATTAAAACCATCTGCTAATACCATTAAAAAAATGAAGAGGTAAGAAGGTAAACCTGGAAAAATTGTCACCTTACATCTATCTGAAAAGGAATTTGTATCCAGAATATATTAAAAAATTTCCACACATCAACAACATGAGAAACAACACAATTTTAAAATGTGTAGAAGATTTTACTTTCACTGAGTGATACATGAATCTTCCTGATGAATAAGAGCATGAAAAAGGTTCAACATCATTAATCATCAGACAACTGCAAGTTAAAACCACAATGAGATTCTTTTAACACCCACTGAAATAACTAAAATTCAAAGAAACCTGACAGTACCAATCATCGGTGAGGAGTTGGAACAAGAGTGGTCTCGTACATGACTGGAGGAAAAGTAAAATGGTACAATTAGTTTGCCAATTTGACGATTTCCTAAAAGGGACCACTCTATCGAGCCAAGAGAAATAAGAGCACATGTCCACAAGAATGTTCACAGTCTCCATATTCACGATAGGTACCATGTGAAACAACCCATACATCAATCACCAGGGAGAGGTTAAACTGTGTACAGCCACACAATGGAATACAACTCGGTAACACAGAGGAACAAAGTATGGACACATGCAAAACATGGATGCAACTCCACAACATTATGCTGTGTGGAAGTAGGGAGTCCCGGTGCTCCTTCTCTGACTTTATTGATAGAAATTTCAAGATCTGACAAAATTAATCCATGGAGATAAAAATCAGAACATTGTTTGCCTCTCAGGAAGGAGAGGGATTGGCTGGGAAATGGCAGGATGGGACTTTCCCGGGGGGGGATGGAAATATTTCTCCTTTTTTAAAAGATTTATTATTTATCGCTCTATTTTAGAGGGAGAGAGAGGGCACGAGTGGGGAGAGGGAGGAGGGGGAGAATCTCAAGCAGACTCCCCACTGACTGGGGAGCCCAACGTTGGGGCTCGAGCTCATGACCTAGGAGGTCATGACCTGAGCCAAAATGAAGACTAAGATGCTTAACTGACTGAGTCACCCAGGCTCCCCTGGTGGAAATATTTCTACCTTGTTTGGGATGGCAACTACACGGGTATGTGTAATTGTCAAGACTCATCAAACTTAGGATCTACATTTTATCGTAGGCAAATCTGACTCGAGTAAGGGCAATTCCTTGTGTTTTTATAATTCACCAGAATTTTTACCAGGGTCCTATGGTATGTACCCCATTGGTTTTGGCTGAGTTCATTTTATTCACACTACCTTGTGTGGTAGGCGAAGCATCTGTTACTCTCGCCGCACAGATGAAGAAACCGGGAGAGGTCTGTGGTGCCAGAGAAGCCAGACTTCTGGCGGTTCTGCAGCCTCTCTGTGAGCAGGCGCTTGGAATCAGCCTCCTGGAACTGAGAAAGCCCTCAGAGCTCTTCTCCTCCATCCTCCCATGTTTTAGTTGCAGAAACTGAAGCTCAGGTGACTTGGGAGGTGATGTGTAGGTTTGGGAAAAGAAGTCCTGGAGAAGTGAGCTCAGCAATGTGCGAGTTTGCCCTGGGGCCAGCTCTGTCTGGGTTCTGTGAAGTGTTTCCCTCATCCCTCTGGGTTTCCTCAGTGGATTCAAACCCCATAAGGTCAATAAGGAGTGTGCCTGATTCCCCTGTGTACCCCTCCACCGCCCTTCCTTTCCCTGCCCCTCTCAAAGAGATATTCAGCTCATGTTCAAAAAATGCAAGCGCTAAATATTTGCAAAGCAGCTTACAATATAGACAGTTAAAATATAGTTAAAAATAAAATACGTCAAAAACAGGAAAGAGATTATTAGAACTTCCTTGTTATAGCCTACATACTTGCTGGAGAAAGAGCCCAATTTTGGCTCTATGCGTTCAAGTAGCTAAAGTAAAGAGGAAAATAAAATCAGTTCCAAAATTCTCTATGTCCACAGATCAAAAACAGGTCTGTAAGTCTTGGTGGGTGGGGAAGCAGGATTAAAGGCACATCTCTTCCTGATGGTATTACTCACAGTCACACAGCTGGTTGATAGCAGAGGATGGCTTGTTGATTCCAAATTATGTGATGTTAACTAATCAACTAGAGGGTATCCTTCCCACAGGTTAATTGTTTTAGTAGTTCAATAAAATCAAATATCAACCTATAAAAGCACAATAACCAACCAGAGTAGGGGAACCAGATTTAGCAAATAAAAATACAAGAGTCCCAGCTAAATTTGAATTTCAGATCAATTTCAGATGAAATTTCATTCTTTGAATTCAACTGATGTCTTGTATTTTATCTGGCAACCTTAATCCGGGGAGTATAGATTTAGATTATACCGTATATAGAGGGATGGGTAACTATAGATTCTTTAGGCAACCTTACAGAAATTTCTTTTCAGGCATTGAATGACAGTTCAAAATTACACTCCTCATCAAGGGTCTGGCATGTAGTTTTCTTTTGCAGTTAAATCCCAAATCATAGGGGCGCCTGGGTGGCTCAGTAGGTTAAGCGTCTGCCTTTGGCTCAGGTCATGATCCCAGGGTCCTGGGATGGAGGTCCCATGTCTGGCTCCCTGCTCAGTGGGGAGCCTGCTTCTCCCTCTCCTTCTCCCTCTGCCATTCCCCCTGCTTGTGCTTGCTCTCCCTCTCTCTGTCAAATAAATAAATAAAATAAAAAAAACAAACCCAAATCATACACTTTTTAAAGCAGCTCAGCTGAGGGTAGGATCTCCATCCACTTGTAAAATCTGAACTCTTGACAGGACTCCCAGGCCGAGAAGACACTGCTGAGTTCTGGATCCACAGTGGGACTCTGTTGCCCCTGAGGACATTTGAATTCCTTTAGGGAATTAATGGGAGTGGCCTTGACCATGCACCTTACCTTCACTTTTGCCAAATGGTTCTGCCAAAATGCCCTACTGATTTCATAGAAATGTCACAACAAACCAGTTCCTCAAATTAAAAAAACAACAACAACTTATAATTGGGAAATCTAAGATATACTGACATGGTCACTGAAGAATTACTTATAATGATGGCCGTTTAAATTCAACACAGCTCAGATATACAATGATAACTAATGAGGCACATCAGCTGTGGCACAACCATGAAATAGAATTCTATGAATATTTAAAATGTGAAAATTTAAGTGACACATCAAATGTTTTTACCATGATATAAAATAGAAAAAAATGTAAAACTACATGCTGTGGGAGCTCAGCTACATAAACGGTATGTTGCAGCACGAATTCAATTTTTTTTCAAATACAAATTTACCACAACGTTTAAAACTCATTACCTTAGGATGATGGATTTATGGATAATTTTTACTGTTTTCTTCTTTCATATTTTCTGTTCTTCCGTAACTTTTAGAGTGAGAAAAAACATATTTCTAAAGAGAATGAACATCTCTGTAAGAAATTTTAGAACCGCAAAAACTTGATCATAATGGTAACCGGATAAGTCCCTCCAATAACATCGACAACATTGGGATGATAAAACCTAGCATCCAGTCAAATAAAATGTAATAAATTCTGGTCTGTTGGGAACGAGATGCACTGCTAATATTCTGCTTGTGGGAATCTGAGTGTTCTTCAAGGTTACATGAAAATTTAGCTCTAACACTTCCAGTTTGAAGTTCCAAAGTTCCACATGTAGAATATTGACAAGGAATCAAGAGCAGGAGAACAGGAAAGAGAGAGAAAGAGGGGGAAAAAAGCATAATGAAAGATCCTAGGCCACATGGAGAAAAACCAGCAAAAGAGGAAAAGGAAGGAAAAGTGGGGTGAAGAGAGGGGGATGGAGGATAAAAGTTTCTGGGCATTTTGCATCCCCCCAGAATCAGGAAAATGGAAGTAAAGTTGCTAGATGAAACTGGAGGCCTGCACACTCTTAACATCCCCACTCCTCATGGCTCTGCTCTGGTGTCCTGTCCAGTGGCGTCATCCAGCAAGGAAGAGTTCAGGTCAATGGAAATCAGGTGCATTATCAGCACATCAAGGCAAACCTTACTGCCCCTGGGCACTCAGGGAAGCCAAACTGGGTATCTTCTCTGGCGGTTTGTATGGCACAGGCATGTGGTACCTCACGTGCTTCCAGAATTTGGAATTCGGGGACCGTTTGTTGGCCACGTGGTCTTCCCTCCACTTGATGGTACCTTGCACTTCCATGAGATGCTTGAGGGAATCTTGCAGCTCCCCAAACTGCAGTCCGCCGGGCTTGCTCAGAGCCTCCAATTCTATAAGAATCACCTTGGAGTCATTCTGGATGAGGGCGCTGTGCAAGGCAATCTCCTGCTCGTAGGCAAACTCCCTGCTTTGCTCCATCTCAGGAGTCAGGATAAAAATCTGCCGCCGACTCTTTCGTATGTTGCTTTCCACTGCAGCGGCTGCATCTGGGAATAAAAGACAAAGATCACATTTCCTGTTGCTGCATTTTTAAGTCTAATGCTTTGATCATAAATGTTCTGAACTTAAAAAAAAAAAAAAAAACATTATGGTTTCAATCCGGCATGACATTCTGACACTGATCAGTTCTTCACTCAGGAAAGGGGGAATGGGCTTGGATGGACCACCCGTTATGTTCGACTTACCCATCTCGCTGTGAGCAGCACATCAGTCCCAAGCCCCTCTTCCTTCCCATGTAGATCAGTCCTAACTAAAACAGAGTCTTTGGAGTTAAATGGCAGCTACGTAGAGATATTTAGTGGGAGAATTAGAATTCAAGTTCATTAGCTACATATTATCTTCTTAGAATATTAGCTTATGTGTTTTACGAGGGCTTAGTACTTTCACTCTTAGGAACCCTTGCTCCTCTGAACTGACTAAAGTCTCTAAGGGAGTCCTAGAGTCACATCATTACCCAATATCTCTGTTTGAGAAGCTGATTTGATACAGACTAGAAAAAATCTTAAGGAAGACCAGATCCCCTTATCAAGTTAGAGTTTATACAGCATCAACTCCATGGTGATGGCAGGTAATTTCTGGGCAGACTTAGGAATAATGTGTAAAATATTCAGCTCTCACAGCAAGGAGGGAACAGAGACAACAAAGAAATGCAACCACAAAGGAAACCACTCCAGATATTCTCAGAGGGTGGCAGCTGAAAGACTGCCAAACCATGTAGTGGGAACGAGGGAAATAAATGTTGAATAGTGCCAGGTAGAGACCTCAGGATCCTAACAGAAAACTTGGCACACTCAAAAGGACGGACTTAAGAGAGGTTAATGAAGGACAATTTGTAAAAGATGTGGGCAGAGCCAAGGGAAATCAGTGAGAGATGCCTCAGGACCCCAGCAGGGGAAATAACAGGGAAGCATTACCCTCCTCCAGGTGTGAAGGGGAGGAAACAGTTATGGAAGCTAATGAATATAAAGGCAGCTAAAGGAGCCCATGTTCCGGGAGAGAAGAGCCCAGCTACCCTGGCAACCTCACGGGATGCCTGCCTCTGAACTCCTGCCAGTGCTTCCATTGGCCAAACCCAGCAGGGGCGTGATGGATTCCATAATGACCAGCCCCCCCCCCCAGGGCCACTAGATGGAGGGGGGCACAGAGTGGATTTGAAGGAGCAATCTTCCGGAAGTTAACTAGCATGGGAAGAAATACACTGATGCAGTCAGTCATGAACTCTTCCGAAGGGAGAAATGAAGTTTGATGTTGTTTTGTTAGATCTGATCTTATTTTGGTTAAAGTAAGGTCAGAAGACATCCTTGAGGGAGGGGAAGTGGGAACGTCCCCTGGTGAAAAACAGCACAATGCAGGCCACGCAAGCTTGGGCCTCAGCGAGCTGGTGTTCACGTTGGGCTGGAGGGAGGTAAAACTAGAAATGAGGGCGATGGATCTGAGACGAAAGTGATGAAGGTTTGCAGCCAGATGTGGCAGGTGGTGTGACATTGCAAACAGCTTCCTGAGCAGATGTGTAACATGAAAAGAGCATTTGAGCACTGCGACTCATTTCTCTCTCCTGGAATGAGGAGCCGAAGGGGAGAGCTGGAGGAGAAAGAAAGCCTCTAGAGAAAACTTGGATTCCATTTTCCTGAATTGTTCATTTTACAAGTCTCCCCCACCATTGTGGGGTGATTAACATTGCCCAAATATCCCAGGATGAACCAGATTCACCTGCTGTGTGTTCCTTTAAATCTCTAGATGCTTGAATCCCTCTTTGCAGTGGAAATGCCAGTTTAAATTCACAGTCTACTAAGCATTAACTTTAGTGGACTTACCCTCATGATGCTCCTGCTTCACTCACATTCCAAACACTTCTTGCTCTCTCAGGAATTTGAGAAGAGCTATAAGGACGGCTCATGGGTACTTGACATAAATATAGAGGGAGGAGGAGAACAGCTACTGAGAGGCCAGAATTGTGACAAACTGTCAAAGGTACATGAAATCGACTAGGAATACTAAGAAACAGAAGACAGCTCTAGTGGTTGTTGTGAGAATATACATTTGCAATGTTTCTCCAATACAAGGAAAATCATAAAGACTCTCTGAATCCTTGCAAATATTTTAGCCAATGCCTCTGGATATTGGAACAAAATTCTTTGTTTTTTGAGTCTTCTTTTGGTTCATCTAGAAAGAATTAAGATATATGTCAGTTATCCCTAGTGGTGGACATGGGAAGTCAAGTAGGGGCAGTGCTTTGCTCAATCCACCTCGCCGTGTCTTCACATCACTGATACTCTTGTGAAGACCTCATGATCAGGTTGGCCATGGGAGCAAGAGGAACAAGAATGAGTATCTCCTTCTTCTGGAGAAATATTTAAAAACTCTGGTCTTAAGACCTGGAATAATGATTGTCTTATGCCCAACACAGGGGTAAGACCACCTATCTCTTGGCCTTCTGACAAATGTGAATTTCTGTCCTTGATGTATGTTGATAGTTTTACCTTCTCCAGGTAGCAGATCTCTCCCATAAATGCATAAGTTATAACCACATTTATTTTCAAGAACATCAGGCAGAATCTGGTGAACAAAGTGCCCCACGGCATTGGCCCTCTCGGGATTATTTTTATAGTTCCGTGGATAGATGACATAAGCATCGTAGATCTTTCCATCTGAAAATGAGAACAAGAAGTACAACTTTATTACTTGGCTCTGAAAATTCCCATTTGACTCTTCCTAGACATTCTTCACTGAATTTTATTGTTGTTGTTGCCTGTATCCTATCCCCCAAAATATTCTAGAATCCAGAGATGGTGACAAAAATCTACCGCCACCAAATATTATCAGAAAAATCCATCTTAATCCCAAGTTCCCCCCTTTACTGTCTCAGACTGAATGGTAGAGAATAGGCAAGAGTCAGTCCAGTTTAGCACCCACCATATTGTCAAATTTAATTAATAATTTATTGGTAAATATTTATTGTCATGGATAAGGAGTCTTCTGTTGTTTGGAGTCGATCTCAATTTTAGCTATTGTTTTCACCTAACTTAGGAAGTGAAAATGCGAAAGGAGAATCAAATAATTAGCCCTCGTTGATTGGACCATATGGAAAATGTAAAGTATATCTGCCTCCAAAGGAAAGAATGTCTGATTTAGCAGGCATAAATGTATTCTTTCATGTGTATACTTATGCACATAGGTAGGACTCTTTATGGAGTGGGCTTTCTGGTAAAATACACCTGCATTCTGATGGCCCTTTCTAAGCTGTTCACATCTGGAAAGCAGGAACACTTTTGTTAATGTTTTGAATTCCATAAAGTTTTACCAATACACATTTTCCAGTATGTTTAAACTTTTCTGGACTTCGGCTGATTCTGTTCTTGATTTAGTAGGAACAGTAAGCCTATTGGGGAAGAAATTTGAGCTGTTGAGATGAATCTCAGAACCATAAGGAGCAACAAAAAAGGATAGAGAACGGCCTCAGAGTGGACTGAAAAACAAAAAGATCTGCCGACAATAAGTTAGCAAGCAAAATCTGGGTTTAGTAGCATAGCTATTAAGAGATCAACAGACAAGTAGCCAACAGCCATTATGGATCCTTTTCTTTTGAAGAAAAAGGTGAAACTTGCCACTTACCATTCCTAGTTTTGTAAGATCTAGCTATTTCTCTCCAGAGCAGAATAACCTCAATCCAGAACACTTTCAGCATTATCACCATGACATTGATTAGCATTAACAAGGTGCTAAATCCCGCCAGTATGTAGTAGGTGCTCTGCTGGTCATCTATTCAAAAGATAAGGGGAGGACAAAAATGATCACTATTATTACTAAAACACGGTAAAATAAACAAATGCATGTCTGCTGACCTCCACTGGGAGTACAAGAGACTCATACAAGAGATGCCTACCTGGGATTTTCATGGCTGCTTTAAGAATCAATAAGTGAACATTTGTTGAGCGCCTACTCTGGGTAAGGCAGCAGGCTAGGCATTGTAGGGGATTCTCAAAGCATAAAAGGTGTCGAGGCAAATGTAAACTTCACTAAGATAGGAGGTAAACATGTAATTTGAGCTGGCAGAGGCTTTTAGGAGTGCTCCCTCCATGCTAGCCTGGGCAGTGGAGCCTTCCTGCAGGAGGAGGGAAGTTTTATAGAACCGCAAAACAAGGAAAATGTACTCCTGGCAAGAGGGGCTGCTGTGAGCCCGAGGGCAGAGATGTGGTGTGCTCTCTGAGGAACTAGAGTAATCCAGTCTGGGGAATTAGTGGAAGACACAATAAGAAATGTGGTTCAGGGTTAGGTTCTGACCAGACTTGAGGCTCCCGTTAAGGCATTTTGCCTTTGTTCGGGAACGTTATGGGAGCCACTGAGAAGCGTTGAGTGGGGTGTTAACAATGAGAGGGGTTGACAAACAAGATTAATCTGAAGGTAGGGGAAGATTTGTCTCTGTGAGAAGAGACCATAATTACTTAGAGGAAAATGGACAGGAAGTTTTTGCAATACTTGTGGTGAAAGATGAGGGTTCAGACTCATGTAATAATGAGAAAGGAACGGATATGCCTGGTGTCGGGGCACTAAGGAGAACGAATCAAAAGGTCTTGGGGTCTTACAGCATTGGAAAACAGGGAAGAGACAGGGGCCGTGTAAGTCTCTAAAGCATGATTGATGGAGAAGTCAGATTACTGGGGTTCTAGGTTCTAAACCCACCCCCTACTCTTCTCATCACCGAACTGTGTCACATACTCACTGCTTCACAAAGTGCATGCACAAGATGGTTCCCGATTTCAAGGACTTGTAACGGATATGCACAAATTGAATACAAGACTTGTACTCATTAATGGTATTTTTGGCTATCTTAAGTTTCCTTCTCTCTTTAGAATTAACTGTCCTCTTACAAGTAGTTGCACTTAAAGAAGACTCTCAAAGGAGATTTGTCTCTTATAGCGTTCTCCCTGCATTTTTTGTCTGAAGTCTCAAAGCAAAGCGGTCCCGGTCTTGCCATAGAAAATCATTCATCCGTATTCACAGATTCCCCCCATAGCTCATCAGCATCCTGAGTATCCAGCCCTGTGAAATCAAGAATGGCCAAGGCGAAGAGATTCAAAACCAGAGGGCAATGGAGGAGGCCTGTTACTGGAAATTGGCAGAGAGCTTACTACCTGCACTGTCATCAGTATAAATGATAAATACTCCCTAAGGAAAGCATTTCGACGGGATTTGCCTCCAGCTCACTCTCTCTAAAAGTCCTATCTGGGGGCGTCTGGGTGGTTCAGATGGTTAAGTGTCTGCCTTCGACTCAGGGCATGATCCCAGGGTCCTGGGATCGAGTCCTGCCTCGGGCTCCCTGTTCCATGGGAGGCCTGCTTCTCCCTCTCCCTCTACTGTTCCCCCTGCTTGTGCTCTCTCACTCTCTCTGTCAAATAAATAAATAAAATCTTAAAAAAAAAAAAGTCCTATCTGGATACCCTCTGGGAACCCCCATTTCTGGGGGAGATCGTGGTGAAGTAACTGCACATATGGCTGGCTGCCTCCACTGGGAGGAAAGAAGTTAATCCAAGACAGTAAAGAAAGTTGAAGTTCAATATCTTTCTGTTCATAACTTTATACCTGTATAAATAATTCTGTATGTGGTGACTAAACATTAAATACTTTCTGAAAGTGTTTAAAAACAAGAAAACACTGCCTAAGTTTGAGTCCTGGCTCTAACTCTAATTTGGTAAGTTCTTCAACCTCCTCTTACTTCAGTTTCCTTATCTGCAATATTGGATGGTAGTAACAGTCTCTTCCTCGTGGAATATTGATCAAATAAATAAGAAATGAAATGGAAAATATTTAGACAGGTCCAAAGGAAACAATGAATAAATGTGTACTACTATTACTATGAGTGTCAAATATTTATTTAATCACGGGAACATAAGCTTTTAAAGTTCTTGTTGTTGAAATTCGAGATATTGTAATTTATTTTGTGATGAGAAATAAAGGAATTCACTGTGACAAACTGCTGTAGCAACAGTTTTTGTTTAATGTACACAGTTGTCAAAACAGAGTGTAACCATGTTATTTAAAGAAAACCAGGGGAAGGGTAGCACATACAAATAAACTAGAAGGAAAAAAGTCACCAAGTACATGTAACATGAAAACAATTCCAATACACAGGTCATCAGAGAACATTCAAAAAGTGACAACGTAAGCAAGGCATGGGGACATCGAGGCAATGGCAGCTCTGGTGGTGGGGGGGGCAGGGGGGCAGGGCACAGCTTCCCCTCTCTTTGGGGATCCACTGTGCCAGCTACCACCACCAGACTGCCCTGATATTACATTATGATGTGGTCCATATGTCCTGGGGCGACTCTGTTATTACTGGGAGAAACCTGGCAACCCATGGAACTCGATAGCACTCAATGTCATGATTCTGTTTGTTTGATAAAAACTTATAAATCAGTGGTTTAAGTCTAAATTAAAGGGAAAATTCCAAGCATGACCTCAGGCAGAGACTTAACATGAACACATCAAATTGGTGGTCTGCTTATCTATCACCCCCGATTTTTTTCCATCACATTGTACCTCTGTGTGTTTATCCAAATCAATCTGGGCTCTATCCCACTTGGGGGTATAAACTGAGGGCTTAACTCTCCCTTTGGCTACGTGACAAACACATTAAATAATTTCCACGTAGTTGTGCGTGGAGTGACAAGTGTAAAAATACCATATTTTTCTCCCCACCCATTTATACTAGATTCAATGCTTCGTCTAACAAACAAGATGTCTTTGCCTGGAAATGCAAACAGGAGAGGAAGTTGACAGGTGCTCAGGAAGGAAATGTTTGTAAAACTATTTTTGCTGACATCATTGCATGCAATGACATACCAAGGGAGTGGGAGGAAGAAGCAGTCTTCGCCCCCAGAGGAGGAGTATGTCATCACTGACACTGGTTAGTGATGTCTGGGTAAGGTGATGATTAAAAGCACAATGACTCTGGGGTGCCCAGTTGGCTCAGTCAGTTAAGCATCTGCCTTCAGCTCAGGTCATGATCCCAGGATCCTGGAGTTGAGCCAAGGGTCCTGGGGTCAAGACCTGCATCAAACCCCGTGTCAGGCTCCCTGCTTAGCAGGGGAGTCTGTTTCTCCCTTTCTCTCTGCTCCTTCCCCCGCTCGTGCTCTCTCTCTCTCGCTCACTCACTCACTCTCTCTCTCTCTCTCAAATAAATAAATAAAATCTTTTAAAAAACCCACAATGACTCTTAGATGGTCTTATTGCTGTTTCAGATTCTTTACAATGTGTCTTATTACCTGTACCCAAGACAGATCATTCTCTGCACCTTGCTTCCATATGCTGCTGATTATTTGTGAAAGAGAATGTTACATTGTAAAAGATTATATATAGTGTCTGAACGTGATCTACTGAAGAGTAGTCAGTTTCCTATTTTTGTTATAATTATATTTTATTGCATCAAATTATAATGAAGTCATTGAAGGCATGCTAGATTCAGATAAAACTAACCAATTTGGCCTTTCCAAGTTACTGGGAAGGTTATCCACCCTAACAAACATAAATGTAAACTGTTGCTTTGTTGAATAATTAGGCCTTATAGCTAGAGCAATGGAAATGTACAAAAATCGTTTTCCTTGATAACTTTGGTATGCGTTCATTTATTCATTCAACAAATTGTTATTGAGTGCAGGCTAGGTACCAGGCACTGCACTACAGATGGAGGCCACAAAGATGGATGAGACACCATTCCTGCCCTCATGGAGCTTAGAGTCACATTCAGCAGACTCTCAAATAGATTTTTGTAAGTGTGATGAGTGTAAAGATAGAGACAGGGCCCTACAGGAACACCTGGAAGGAGTACAGACTCCAAACTGGTGGCCAAGGAAGTCTCCTCACAAAAGGTGGTACCTGAATTGCATGTTGAATAACAGATATAGTAAAGAAATGAGCTGAACTACCACACTTCCCGTGAGTTTTACCTACATTTAGATTGGTAGTTACCAGAGATAGGGGTGAGTGTGGGAGAAATGGGTGAACAGATTGTGTTTTCTTTTTTTAGTTTAAAGACATTGAATCTTTAAAAAGACAGAAAAAGAATGACACGTAGCCAAACAATGTATTTGGTGAAATAAATGATGGTTTCTCTGTATAATGGGATACTATGAAGCCATTAAAAATCATGGTGTAGAACATTTAGTATCATGGAAAGATTTCTACTACACATTAAGTAATTATAAAACAAGCTATAAAACTTTCTATGTAACTTGTAGCAAAACATGTTTATAATCCAAATGTATCTGAAGAGAATTTATGTGGCAATACAAAGGTGGAAGAATAGCCAAGACAATCTTGAAGAACAAAATTGGAAGATTTACTCTACCCAAAATCAAAGTTGATTGTACAGCTGCAGGAAATAAGACAGTATGGTATTAGTGCACAAGTAATTTTTTTTTCAAAGAGACAGGATACAAGGGTCACACACTTTTTCTGGAAGGGACCAGATGGTAAATACTTTCGGTTTTGCAAGTAGAAAAATAAATAAATAGATAAATTTAATGTTTTATAAAGTTTAACAATGACAGCATACGATGTCTTACTACAAAGTAGCATCTAAGATCTTCTTCCTGGAACGGGCAGTAATTAAGCACTTCACTTTTTCATCCACTTTGCAGGCCTCACTAACAAAATGTGCATTCTTCAGGACCAAAAAAAAATTATAAAAGGGAACGCGTTTATGACATGTCATAAAAGTCATGAAAGGTAACAAAGAGCATGTTCACGTTTGCTCTTAGTGTGTTGTCTTTCATATATAGTGAGACAGAGAGAGCTAATAAAAGCAGAAGGATGGCCAAGGAAGCAGTTGGGTGTTAAAGAGGAGCCAACACGAGAAGGGAAGGTGGGGGCCGGGGGGAAGGAAGGGAAGGAAGAGGTGGGTGGGAGGAGGGAGAGAAGGGAGGGGAGGAAGAAGCGGAAAGTAAAGCTGTAGAGAAGCAACTAGGGAAACCATACGACAAATGGTCAGGACTCTTAAGAGGAGAGGCTCATTTTACGAGATGGGCCACTTCCATTGTCTTGAGAGCCACACTCCAACACATTGTTCTCTAAGCAAATGCTTTCAGCTTACAGTTGATGCAGCTTAACTCGGGTGACCAAAGTCTCAGGAACACTCCTTACTTGGACTTCTCCTCTTTAGTCTTACGGTGTGCCGTATCGAACCATGCAAACTCTGAGCCAGACATTCATACTGCAGCAACAAATCCTCCTCTCTCACATCATCTATTCTTAAAATGGTGTTCTGACAAGTCAGCTCATTGCTAAAATTAAAAAGAGGACATGTTACTTTCAATGCTTACTTTGCTGTTGCAAATTGTGTGGGAGGAAAAGGGGATGTTTTAACCTCAGCATAAGAATACCTTTGATTTTGCTCCTGTTCCTCTTGAATTCTTGCTTCACCAAAGTTCTTAACTGTGGTTCCATTCACCTTCCACCGGACGCCAGCCATGAACCGAGAGCCTTTCCCAAAACAAGCAGAGCAAAGTATGTTTGCTCGTTTTCCTAGGTGAGAAGTGACGAAATTCACCGGTAAAATTCAGTTCTGCCAATAGTGCGTGCAGTGGGAAAAAAAATCACTGAACATCTGGTGTGTGCCGGGAACTGATGCCATCCCCCTCCCTTATTGTTAGCACCTCCCTCCCTGTCCCAGGCCCGCCTTGCCTCCACCCCCTTCATTCAGTTTGGAGGAAGCTCTGCTCCCACTTGCCTCTCATCTGCTGCGTAAACTAAGCAGATAAATAACTCTGGCTTCATCAATCCCAGATTATAAGGTAGGGCTTCTTTTTAATCTAAATTGGAATTTCTTTGTGACTTCTTTCTTCCACATCTTTCTCATTTTACTGAATTCTCTTCATCTCTCTGGAAGCCCCTTGGTTGGTAAAACTGTTTTGTTCGACCCAGCTACAATCCCAGTATTGAATCGTTCAAGAGCACTCTCCATTATTACAACTCCTTTTACTTGAGGCTTCCTCCACCCTGAGCTGAAAGCATGGGGGCTGCCCTCATGCTTGGGGACATGCATTCAGCCATCCCTTGCTGAGCCCTTGGTTCCTGGGTCCAGAAGTATGCAGAGGGGTGAGGAATGCAGAGTGTCTCAGAAGGTGACAACAGCACACTCAAATGATTAAAATACAAGGTATTCTAGTCTTCTATGGAAAAACTGACAAACGACTTGGGAATACAGAGGGAGAAGTCATTCTAGGGAGCAGCACTGCCATGGCCGTATGCGAAAATGGTTTCCTTGGACCTGATCGGATGGAGGTTCTGGTGGCAGGCGAAGAGGGTGGCATTGGGGAGTGGTATTTGAGCTCACTGTTGAGAGATGAGAAGGAGGAACAACATGAACAAAAGCAAGAAAGAGCGTGGAAACGCTGCCTTAATTAGTGTAACAACTGTGAGGGGGTCAGCGCGGTGGGGACACGGGGCAAGTGGGGTTAACAGCTGTGGATGAGCCAGGATGCAGTAAGAACCAGTTCATGAAGGGACTTAATCTTATAGGCCAAGAACTTTGAGCTGTATCTCATTTCCGGTGGGGAACCAGAGAACACAGAGATGGGCAGAGTCGGAAACCTGGGTTCTGATCCTTCTATCATTGATTATTCACAACCCTGGGCATGTCATTGATCCTACGTGAGCCTAAGTAACCACAAGCATAAATTGGGAACAAAGTCCACCTCCTGGAGAGAAGAATGAAGTAAAATAGTATGTGTGAAAGCACCATGAGTTACAAGTACAATACAAATATAAATGCTGGGTATTCCTAATATTAAGCAAGTGCTCAGGTGAATATTTCTACACACCACATTTCATTTAATCCCCAAGATCCAGCACGTTAACTACCTGACCCATGCTTGGGGAATTCAGATCAAGAGTCATACGGAAGGATTCTTCAGGTAACATGTATAGCATTCTTAAAGTTTTCTTACCAATTTCCACTTCTTTTGTTTCATTTTGCGGAGGGGCTATAATTACTGGAAACCAAGAAAAGCTTTCCTCCTCTTAAATCAAAGACAAAGAGAATATAAATATTAAGAGAGCATTGGATGGTGATCAATGCAAAGCTTGTGTTTTCATATTTCTATCCTATTTCATAGCAATGTTTCTCATATTTTTCTGACAATGACACACAGCAACAAATAAATGCACACACACACACATACACACAAACGGAAAAGGAAAACATTCAAGTAATACTTTCCCTTACTACCTATGATACTTTTTCATATTTTCTGTTCTCTTTTATATCATTAAAACAAATGTTAATCCAACACATTAAATAAACTACATGACCTGGCAATTGCTAGAAAAGCACAATTCTACAGAATAAGCACAGCACTACAGGAAGGAAGATTTCAACAGTCCCATGAAACAACAGCACATATAAGGTACTTAATAAATGCTTGTTGAATGGGGAAAAAAAGCCCTATGACCATGATAAACACATAGGTCCACGCTTCCGCTCACAGAGTTTCACCATTGTGGAAATTCTGTGGCACCGACGCCTAGAGACAGTGAAGGGGGTTTTCTGAAGGACTGCTGCATTCCTACACCCTTGATTCTCATTTATTTCAGAATAATGTGATACTAAGGAAACCCCGACTCCTTGTAGATTTGATACCCTTGGTGGTGAGGTATTTCACCACCAATAGGTTTTAGAGACTTTAACATTTGAAAAGCACTCTTTAGAATCAAATTATCTACTTGAGGTCATTGATAATGTAGAAAGTATTGCAAACCAGGATTGTGTGAAAGGTGAAATGGAATGGTGTCACTTATGTCAAGAGCTTTTGAAATGGAGCCAGGAGGCCAATAAGGAGATGGGCCCCATGTCCTCACTGGTAGAACTATGAACTTTTGAACTAGTGAGACTATAAATATTCCAAGAATGAACCCAAACATCCGCAACTTGGTACAATAAGAGACTTGCTTGTGATAGCCTTAGTCACCAATTATATTAAATGAAGGTTAGCTTTCTACTGCTAATACCCACTAGAATTATTTGTAAACGATGTCTACATGCATTCCCTCTTTGCTTTAAAATCCCCCGACTTTTGCTCCCTAGTGGGACACTAGTTGGGTTGCTACCCAAATCTGTGTACCCCAAACTGCAATTATTTGATCCCAAATAAACATTCTGGCTGACTTATTGCCTCCTGATAACTTTGGGTTGACAATTAAAAACCACCCAACAATATCTATCCATCGCTTTATAGAACTTCTCACTAAATTTCTAATCCAGTTAGTTATATTAGAGATTAAATAGATTTTTTTCTACTTACAGAACTTCTGACAACAAACTGGGAGAAGGAAAGTTAATCTAGCTCTGCAAATACTTATGTTGCCATCCAAAAAAAGTTTATTAGGATTCAGATCATGCCATCTTTGAAAAGTTTAAGTCATAGAGGAGAGAACAGATTTGGCTTTAGATTAGTAGTGTAAACTCCCTCTAACATTCCTGAGATCTTGACAGCACATTTAGAAAAGCTCTTTGCTCTGTTGTAGAGAATGTGCAAGATGAGATGAAGCTGGAGGACCTCTCAGGGAGGACCATGAAGTATAGTAGTGCCCCTGATCCCCGGTTTTACTTTTCAGGGTTTCAGTTACCCACGGTCAACCTCAGTCTGAAAAGATTACATTGAAAATTCCAGAAATAAACAACTCATAAATTTTGAATTGCTCAGAGTTCTGAGTATCATGATAAAATTTCACAATGCCCCACTCCGTCCCATCCAGGAAATGAATCGTCCCTTTGTCCAGCAGATCCACACTCTATCTGCCACATGCCCTTTAGCCACTTAATAGCTTTCTTAGTTATGAGCAGACTGTCACGGTATCCCACTGCTTGTGTTCAGGTAACACTTATTTTACTTACTAGTGCCCCCAAAGCACAAGAGTAATGATGCAGGCAATGCAGAAAAGCCAGAGAGAGGCCATTGAGCACTTCCTTGAGCTGAAAAGGTGAAAGCTCTCGACTTAATAAGGAAAGACAAAAACATTGTATGCTGAGTTTGCTAAGATCTATGGTAACTTTTATTACAGTATTTTCTTGTAATCCTTCTGTTTTTCAATTAGTTATTGTTCCTAATCTCTTACCGTGTCCAATTTATCAATTAAACCTTATCATAGGTATGTATGGATAGAAAAAAACATAGTATATATAAGGTCAGTACTATCCCCTATTTCAGGCATCCACTGGGAGTTTGGGAATATATCCCCTGCAGATAAGGGGGTCTGCAGTCTAGGAAAATCAACAAGAAGGGTACAATTCCTCCCACATTATTTTTTTTCAAATATTGTATTTTGTTAAATTCAGTAGCTTACCTTTCATGACGAATGATCTGGTTGCCGTCACGCTGTAACTGAGTCCATTTTCATTGTGCATAAATTTGCATGTATAATCACCTGTGTCCTTGCTAGTTGCATTGTCAATCAGCACAAAGGTCTTGTGTATGTGATACCTTGGCCCGTGAAGAGCTTTACAATTCTGCAACGAAAAATTCCATTCCATTTTCAGCGACTCTTTACTTGCACCTGTTTTGTGTAATTTTCATCCATTTCCCCCAAATGTCCTTTTACCTTAAACCACTCAACAGGTGTTGTCCAGTTGTAGAGGTCAATTGTAGGACAATATATTTTGGAATTTTTTTCTGATCCAGATGTTGTTGAATATATCAGATGATCTGGAATATTGCATTCTGGGTTTTTTTTATATATGGTGACGTTTACGTATCCAATCTTATTGAAGGTAGGACTATTAAAATAAGTCAAACGATTTAAAAAGTTACTCAGGATTATGAAATGAAATGACTTTATCCAATTCTAAGCTTTTACTTAATATTGCTTTTTTTTTCCCTTCAAACAACTGATGTACAGGGGTTGTTTTCTTATTTAAAAATATCTATAAAAATCTAGAGTTTTAAATACTTTTTGTGTTGCATTTGAGATAAAACATAGCCCCTGTGGTAGCCCTGAAAATGACTCCCTCACCATTTCTTTATACAACAGATCTCCTTTTCATGCCAAGGATATTACAAAGATTTAAGTGGTATTTATTGAGAGCTTTCTATGTACCATTCATGGTGCTAACATTACATTATTTTATTCTCATAAGGATGCTTTGAAGTAGGCTATATTATCATATGTATTTCACAGATGACAGAGAGGGACAGAGAAGTCGCTTGTTGGCATCACACAGCCAACTAGTGACAGAACATGAATTTGAAACTAAAACTGGTCTGACCTCAGAACCTAGGCACCTAACTATACACATCCTGCATTTTGATGTAGTTCATCTGACATATTGTGTGTACCAAATACAGGCACAAGATCAAAACATTTAACAATATATATGTAGGGTAAGTAATTTGCAGGCACACAATCTTACACAACCCTCTTCAGCTTACCTCTCAGGTTTAAGGCACTGGTGAGAGCCCTTTTGCACCCACATAGGCCTCCTTGATGCCCAACATCTAGATTACTGGGTCTTTTTGCTGGTTTGTTCTTACTTCCAGCCAAAGTGAGTGATTGCTCTCAGTTCTCTTGGTCACTAGGAAAGCTAGGTCTTTTCCTAATTGGACTACAAATTAATTCTTGCCATTCTACCTCTAAGTAATTCATAATCACCCAAACCCCAATCTGATGGCATTCCTAGAAGTACTCTTTTATTCAAACCACTTTATAAATCCAGCTGTCCCACAAAGGTCTAGAAAGGAAGGACAGCTCACACCATCAATTATCAAAGAAAAGGGAACAAGCCAAAGATTATGGTGGCTGCCTGGTTAATACCTTCTGATAATGCAAGTATAAATTCCAGAATCATTGACTTTGGCCGGGAGAAGCTTAAGACGTTCCCCTGAGGCCAATACACGATTTCTTTTCTGGGTGGTTATACTTTTGTTGGTTTTTGAGTAATACCAATCCACAGGGTATCGAGACTTTCCTTGCCTAGGACATCTCACAATTAAAGCCTCATTTTCCAGGCCCCAGGATGATTTGCCTGCAGATACAAAAAACAAACAAACAAACAAACAAAGCATAAATGGGATCCTGAAATGATCATAGAACATTATAATTCTTATATTCTGTCCTTCTAGGATTAAATATAGAAAGGATCATTTTTGTGACACTTTCACTGAGAAAGAATAGTAAATGATAAAGATCTTCTATGAAATGTTCTACTGGGTACCACAGATTAGTGCGTTAACTTGGAGCTAACCCTCCTACATTGCTCTAGTGAGAAAGCAGCCACATCTCTCTCTCTCTCCTACATGCAGGCAGCAGGTTAAATTTTGATGTATTTAAATAGGTAAAACTAAAATTATGATATATTTTTTGTGAAGAATTTGTCCTGAGAGATTAGTGATGAAGAATGACTGCAGGGCATAAATGAATTTTCCAGGAACAACCAGAAGCAAGCAGTTTAAAACAGGGCAAATGATGGGGCACCTGGGTGGCTTAGTTGGTTATATTAAGCATCTGCCTTCGGCTCAGGTCATGATCTCGGGGTCCTGGGATCGAGCCCTGTGTCAAGCTCCCTGCTCAGCTGAGAGTCTGCTTCTCCCTCTCCCTCTGCTATTCCCCACAGCTCGTGCTACCTCTCTCTCTCTCAAATAAAAAATAAAATCTTTAAAAAAAAAAAGTCAAATGTTTTTGGGATTACTTAATTTTAAAATTTTATAATCACACTATCTCTCTCAAATAAATAAATAAAACCTTTAAGAACGAAAACAAGGCAAATATTTTTGGAATTACTTAATTTTAAATTTTTATAATCATGCTGTCTCTCTCAAATAAATAAATAAAACCTTTAAGAACAAAAACAAGGCAAATATTTTTGGAATTACTTAATTTTAAAATTTTACAATTTTAGTTGAAAAGTAGTACTTACTAAACTTAGCTGCTGTGGAATGTACGAGAATTGTTAAAAGTGCCACAACCCAAAGTCTCATTCTCAGCTTATCAATCCAGAGCAAGTGCTGGTAACTGATTGTTGAGATTACTCAAGGTGAATCCGTGACATATGATGGTGAAGGTCTCCCCTAGGAGGTTGATGGTATCCCTTGAGATTTACAGCAGGATAGAGTTTCAAGGTCTTACTGAAACATAAATCATACAAAATCACAAGCAAAATACTTATTGTCATGATTTTTGCTTGTTCAATACCTCCCCCAGGAGAACTAATCAATCAACAGGTATTTATTAGGTATAAATATGTATAACAGCAGGATTTCAGACCTGAAACATTGCACTTATTCCTACTGAAACTTTGGGCCACGTAGGCCCTACAATAGTCATACTATTTCATAGTATCATGAGAATGTACTGGAAGAAACTGAATTAGGAGGAAAGAAAACTAGTTTCTATTTTTGAAACAAATTAAAACTATAAAATTCAACAGACCCTGGAAAATACGATGTTATAAATGCCAAGGTAAAACCACAGATAGCCACCCAGGCTGGGGGCTATGTGACCCACATGCAGGGGTACACGCACATAGTCATCACAAAGCAACTAAAAATATAGGAAAGTGATGGGTCGACCGTTAATCATTAAGTAATTGCCCTAGACACAACGCCAAACCCTCAAAAATGTGTACCTGCTTCCACTTGTCCCCAAGGTTCACCAGAGTTTTTCTGAGAATAGTCGGAGGTCTGTGAAAAATATTACATGTTTTCTTTTTCCTTTCACCAAGAGAATCATTAAACTAGATGGTTTTTTCTTAAAAAGTCAGGGAAGGGATTGAGCTAACACAGAAACTAGCAAATAGAACAAGAGACACAACAACCCTAAGCAGACTTCAAGAAAGCACATTTCCTCTAAACATCAATTACTGGTACTTTTCTTATTACGTGTATGGAAAAGTTTTTATCATAAATTTTAGATAAGTAATTGATGCTTACCTAAACTGAAGGACGGAAGGGAATGAACTCCAAGTCCAAGGCTGAGCTAAGAATAGTTTCCAACTCTTGTGGCTTCTGCCCCTGAAGTCTCCTCAGGTGCACACACTCTCTCCTTTTGAAGGGGAGACACTCAAAGGCATCCTGCAATCCATCACTCCACCCACACTGAAATTTGACTTGTAGTCAAAATTCATGACTTGTTGAAAAATATTGGTGCATCATGTCCCGAGAATTCTTGACCTTGGTACATAAATATTTGAACATAAGGACAACACTGAGTAATCCCTCTGGATGAAGCAATCAAACCACCTCCCCTTATTTTAGCATCAGTTTGTTTAGCTAAATAATGCTTGCTGTTTATTGCCCTTATATTATTACTCATTGGGTTCTCAGTGATCTTGAAGTCTTGGGACCTTGAGTCTGCCTTTCCAGATATCCTTCAACATTTCATTTGGCAAACACTAGCTAAACAAGCTCATCCAGTTTTGGCAGCTTTGGTGCAAAGAGTTCCAAAAACGAATGAGGGGACAAGCAATGAGAAGTAAGCCAGACTTTACAGAGGTTTGTAAAGGCTCTGCTTATGGTCCAGAATGTGACACAGTCTCGTCCAAAACCAGGTTCCCCCAACATGTCAGCTCCTCCAATATAAGTCCCTGTAGGGACTCAGATCAGTTTGAATGGAAAAGGGCAGTTTTTCTAAGGAGTTCAGGAGCGTAGAGGAAAACTATGAGTAAGAAGGCTACCTCAAGGGGGCTGTTAGGAAGACCATAACCTTCAACTCTCGGACCCCATGTAAAACGAATGTTAATTACAAAATTAGATTTTAGCTATGCATGACTGGAATGACTCTATCAAGAGTAAATTCAATTCACTTTTAAAACTTACCACATCTCCGAAGGATTCAGGGACTAATTGCCGACCCGCGCAATAATGTAATGATAATAGTGAAGCTTTATCTAGAACTCACTCTATGCCAAGATGCAGTCCTAAGTGACTTACATGTGTTAACTCCTTCATTGTCACAACACCCATGGAGGCAAGCATTATTGTCACAATGCCCATTTTACAGATAAGGACACTGAGGCCCAGAAAAGTTAAGCAACTTGGCCGAGTCACATACTGCTAAGAGATGGAACCCAAGCAGGCTGGCTCCAAAGGCTAGATACCTAATCATGAGGTCACACTGCCACTGGGTGAGCAAGGTGAAGTGCTCTTGAGCAGGCATGCCCATCTGCTTGGGGATTCAGTCTTAATTTGGACATCAGTCATGTGCTTTGAGAGGAAGAAATACAAAGTCCTGTCACGCCTAGGAGATTTACCATGACATGTTTGGTGTCAATTTGAGGAATTGGGTCTGCTTATCTCTAGTCTTGATTTAGTTGTCCAAGCTCTTATTATCAAGATCATATGAGTTTCACGCTGAGACCACAGAATCAGGAGCCGGTGAACTGGGAACAGTGCCCATGGCATGGTTAAACTCTGCATAGCATTTTGTTAAATAAAATAATATGAACTTGAACGTTCTTATACTTGAATATGAACTTTTATTTTGCACACTAAAATATCTTTCAAAAAGCTTGATTAAATGTAGGCATTTCTTCATGAGACTAGACCACATTTCCATGGGTTTCCTAGTTTTAAATAAGATTTCTTAGTTAAAAATCAGGCTTCACAGCAAAGTCCACAATAGCCAAACTGTGGAAAGAGCCAAGATGTCCATCAACAGATGAATGGATAAAGAAGATGTGGTCTGTATATGTATATATATATATATATACATATACATACAATGGAATATTATGCAGCCATCAAAAGGAATGAGCTCTTGCTATTTGCAACGACATGGATGGAACTGGAGGGTGTTATGCTGATTGAAATAAGTCAATCAGAGAAAGACATGTATCATATGACCTCACTGATATGGGGAATTCTTAATCTCAGGAAACAAACTGAGTGTTGTTGGAGTGGTGGGGGGTGGGAGGGATGGGGTGGCTGGGTGATAGACATTGGGGAGGGTATGTGCTATGGTGAGCATTGGGAATTGTGCAAGACTGTTGAATCACAGATCTGTACTTCTGAAACAAATAATGCAACATATGTTAAGAAAAAAGAAAAAGAAGATAGCAGGAGGGGAAGAATGAAGGGGAGTAAGTCGGAGGGGGAGATGAACCATGAGAGACGATGGACTCTGAAAAACAAACAGGGTTCTAGAGGGGATGGGTTAGCCTGGTGATGGGTATTAAAGAGGGCACATTCTGCGTGGAGCACTGGGTGTTATGCACAAACAATGAATCATGGAACACTACATCAAAAACTAATGATGTAATGTATGGTGATTAACATAACAATAAAAAAATTTTTAAAAAATCAGGCTTCAATTAGAATGTTAACATGATCCTGAAATCTGGCAGAAACATTTCGTAAAATCTAATGATTATGGTAAAATAATCCAGTAATCCATTCAACAATTAAGTCCTTTCACTCAAAGTACTGAAGTACTTATCAACACCACTCAACTTTTACAGATTAAAATAAAACCCATGGAAGCCAAAGCTTTTTTTTTTCCCTTGAAAATCGACTAAAAAAGAGAAAAAAATAGTTAAACTTTCTTTTTTACAATTCTGGGCTGGGTTATTAAACAAAATAAGTTAGTCTAATTTCCCGAAAGCCTCTTTTTTATAAATAACTAACCCACTTTGGCTTCTCACTACTATGACACCATCCAACATAAACATATAATGGTTCATAATAACTTAGACAAAATGTGAAAGGCAAGGGCTTCTAACTAATAAATACAACAGAGATTTTGATTCCTGTCAAGTTAAGAAGAAAGCTTTCAGTGTCTGCTTGTTTCTCTAGCAGATACCCTCTTCTTAAGATTTCTCAGAACTACTCTTCATTTTAAAAATTAATCTCACTTAGGGGCACCTGGGTGGCTCAGTCATTAAGCGTCTGCCTTTGGCTCAGGTCATGATCCAGGGTCCTAGGATCGAACCCCACCTTGGGCTCCCTGCTCAGCGGGAAGCCTGCTTCTCCCTCTCCATCTGCCCCTGCTTGTGTTCCCTCTCTCGCTGTGTCTCTCTGTCAAATAAATAAATAAAATCTTAAAAGAAAAATAAAAAAAATTAATCTCACTTAATTTGGCCATAACTTTGATCTGACTTTTGAGTTTGGCCATAATTTTCTTCAGATTTTGGATTATAATTTTGAAATCTGGCGTGTCCCTATTTATAATCTAACACATTGACATTTCTGCCAAAAAATAAACAAAAACCAAAAGCCCTTATTTTCAGAGTAACAGCTAGCAACTTGCATTTGGATTGTGGCACTCAAATATTTCATAACTTACAAGATATCATGCAAGACTTCTCCATTTGTCTTGCCTGGTATCATAACTAAATCAAGATGTAAGTATCATATTCCAGAGCTGGCCATGTATGGCCTGGTCTTCCTGTAAGCCACGTTAAAAACGAGGACATTTTTATCATATTACACATACATGAATCCAGGTGGGTCAGGTTTTTACTCAGTAATTTTCACAAGAATAAGCAAAGGGGAAATCTTTTCCCCATTTCATTAGAGAGCATTCTGGATGTCCCTTTTCTCCCATTTCTCCTGATGGGGTGTCTGTAGAGCCTGCAACAGATGGCGGGCAGATCCTGTGTGGTGGTAGGTGGTCTTGGGGGAAGGCTCTGGGGGGCAACACCATCCACTGTGTCACCTTGGGCAGAGTACTTATCTTTTGATTCTTCTTTGCCACACTTCAAACTCTAGGAGATCTCAACGCTCCTTCCCTGCCTCACCCCTAAGAAAAGCAACTTCTCCCATAGGCTTCTTCAATCTCAGTGATGGCAACTCCATCCCTCCAGTTGCTCAAGCCAAAACTCGCTGTGTGTGATTGCCTCTTCTTTTCCTCACACACCTGACCTGCAATCCATTAGGACATCCTATAGGTTTCACCTTCGAACACAACCTACTTGCAACCACTTCTCCCCACCTCCTCTGCCACCTTCCTCTCCCTAGCCACCATCACCTCTAGCCTCAATGGCAACCATAGCTTATAAGAGTTATCCCTGCTTCCACCAGTGCCCCCCTTCAGACCGCTCCTAATAAAGAGGCTTCAGAAATTCTATTAAAACCTGTCAGATCATATAGGCCTCCAATGTCTTCCTACTTCACCCAGAAGAAGAGCCAACCCCCTTACAGCAGCTCTGAGAATATCCATCACTCTCCTGACTCCTCTTTTTCAACCCTAAACACACGAGGGCAGTTTCTACTGTACCCTTGCTCTTCCTTCTGTCTGGACAGCTTCTTCCAGTTACCCACCAGGCTAATTTTCTCACCTCCTCGAAGTCAGTGTTCCTGTGGTACCGTCTCAAAAAGACTTACCCTGACTACTTAATTTTCTTTTTTTTCTCCCTCCCTTTCTTTTTCTCTTTCTTTCTTCCTTCCTTTCTTCCGTCCTTCCTTCTTTCCTTCCTTTCTCTTACTTCTGAGTAACTTTTTTCTTATTGAGCTTAAATTCACAGAACAAAATCAATCAGATGAAAGTGACAATTCAGTTGCATTTAGTATACTCACAGTGTTGTGAATCTACCACATCTGTCTAGTTCCCAAACATTTTCATTGCTCCAAATAAAATCCCATTCCCATTAGTAATTACTCCCCCTTCCTTTCATTCTCCAGCCCCTAGCAACCACCAGTCTGCTTTCTGCCTCTATGGATCTGCCTCTTCTGAATATTCCATATAAATGGAATCATCCGATAAGTACCTTTTATGTCTGGCTCCTTTCATTTAGCAGAGTATATTCACGGTTCATCTATGTTGAAGAATATATCAGTACTTCATTTCTTTTAGTGGTTGAATAATATTCCATCGTATGAATATACCACAATTTCTTTATCCATCCATTCATTCACGGACATTTGAGTTGCTTCTACCTTCGACTATTGTGAATAGTGCAGTCATGGACGTTGATGTCAGAACATTCATTTGAGTATCTGATCAATCAACTTTAAATGGCTGCGTTTCCTCCCCCATTCCCTATTTTCTTACCCAGCTCTGGCCTTTTAACAGGGCAACCACGAGCTTTTAATTTTCTACTTATGAATTGTGTTTCTTGTTTGTATTCTTTTTCCACCATTAGATTATGAGCTCTAGAAGGAGAGGTAATTTTTGTGAGTTGTGTCCATGGATACAGCTCACACACCAGGCAGAGTGCCCAGCACAAAGTAGATGC